TATTAAAATAATAATTTTTCTAAATCAGACCAAATATTCCTAAAGTAAAATCGAATGAAGATTCCATCATTTCTCACATCAATTTCAACCTGCTTTGCTTCAGGCCTTTCATTTTAGAATGTAAATGTGGTTTGCTTCGAAAAGAAAGCATTCATCTCTTCAGAGAATCCATTGTCTTAAAGGCTCGTGAGAGAACGTAGAAGGAAGCTATTTTATTTCGATGAAATGTTATGTTAACCGTTCCGAAAGAAAATGAACTAGAATGAATTCTACTGGTTTAAGAATGATTCAGAATGCTTTCTCTTCAAATAGGGAACGATTTTTCAGTATAGAAGAAAGTATTCCATACTAGTGTGGAACGGTAAAGAACGAGTTCCTTCAGATCGAGAATATTTCTTTCTGACTCTGAACGCATTCGCTCAAACAAGGAACGCATTCTCTACGTAGGAGATAGGTTTCCATATCCGCATGAAACCATTCTATTCCGTTTTTTTTCGAAATATTTTTCACTGGGTGGTGTTGCATATTTTCCATTTAAACAACAATCGGATTTTTATTATTTGGCCGGCTGTATGCAACCCGATGTTATTTTATTACTAAATTGTAATGATGAAACATTTTCTACTAATCTATTTTTATCTCGATGTACAACACATTCAATTGAGGAATATGAACGATGGTTTGAACCAACAATAACTGATAAAGAAACAATCTCTAAAATATTTTGTATTGATGAAGTTTATCCAATTGATCAATTAATAACATTAAAACTTCCATCCTCGCCTATTTTGTTTTTTAATTCACAATTTATTAATGATAAAACTATAAATAAAAATAATATCGTACCGTTTTTAAAAATATTTTCATCACCGATTGTTTGTAATCAGTTAACTACTTTACTTCATACATTACGATCAATAAAATCATTGACGGAACAAAATCTTATACGTCAAGCATGTGAATTAGGATCAAAAGCGTTTATCAAAACAATGAAAAATTGTAAAAAAGATATTAAGAATGAATATTTAATTAAAGCTCGATTTCAATATGAATGTGAAATGCTTGGTGATATTTCAATGGCCTTTTATCCAGTTGTTGCTGCTAGCGGAAGGTAAATTTTAAATATTATTTTTATTCAAAATTAATTATTCATCTACGTAGATCAAATGTTATTCATTATCAAAAAAATAATCAATCAATAAATGAAGATGATTTAATTATGTTAGATGGAGGTTGTTTATTTAAACAATATTCTAGTGATATAACACGTCTATGGCCTATAAATGGTAATAAAAATTTCAATGAATGACTTAAGAATTTTTTTGTCCAAGGTCGATTTTCATCTGTACAACGACAACTTTATGAAATATTGTTAACTGTACAAAAGGATTTAATTAAATCGTTAAATTCTAATGATAAATTAATAACACGAGAAAAAATAAATAATCTTAGCTGATCAGTATATGATAAAATATTTACGTGAAGAATCTATTCTTTTACGAACAATCGATGATCATTATGCTAAAAATATTATTCGTGTATTATGTCCGACAGGTGTTAGTCATCATCTTGGTATATATCGAATTTTTTTATTAGATTAATTCGAATTTATTTTTTATATTAAGGTCTTGATGTACATGATTGTGAATTATATTCAACTTCTCAACAACTTCAACCTGGTAATATTATTACCATAGAACCTGGTACGTAATCAAAATAAAGGTTTTTTTCTTAATTAAAATCTATTACAGTGTCGATCAAAAATATAAGATCAACATACTTTTGATATTTTGTCTACGATATCAAGTATTAAATCTAAATAGTGATTTAAATAATTAATGAAGATTTTTATCAAAATGCATTTCAGAAGATTGAGTGAAAGTTACTTTTTTAAGAATATCATCTTATGGGATGAAAAATGAGGGTCACCGTATTTCTTACAACCTTCTCTTGAAAAGTTATAAGCATCACAAAGAAAAGCTGTTAGCGCAATTCGTGCGGGATTAAAATGTGAAATACGATTTAGCTATTCTCTGTCATCACATGAAAATCTCTTTGCTCGATCTATTTTGGGATACTTTGCTTCATTTTTGTTTTCAAAATTCTGTACAACTATTATAAGAAAGTATTTAATAGATTATAAAGAGACCATATCAATATGCAGCTTTTGATGGGCGTGGAGCCCATCTGTCACGGTCTCTGGGCCCTGTGTGTGGTTCCCGGGCGGTGTCCATCACCATCTGTGGGGCGCGGAGTATTCAGGATTTTATACTCTTAAAGACTGATATTCGAAAAGTGTTTTCTCCGAGTTCATCCATGAAATTTATGCATAGAATGCATTTGATAGAGAATTTCATTTTTTATTCAAATCACTAATTGGATTTGAGTTGCATGCTTTGTATAATCGAAAAGAATGAAAACTATGTTTGTGTTTTTCATTTATTTAGGTCTTTATATTCCTTTGAATAATAAAGATGTTCCACCAATGTATCGTGATTTTGCGGCACGAATAGAAGATGACATTTTGGTAACGAAACAAGGTTGTGAAGTTTTGTCTAAAATGTGTCCGAAAGAAATTGATGATTTATATCGAATACTTGATGATAGAGATAAATCCGATATACAGTGAATTTTTTTTTTTTTTCTATTAATAAAATTTGATTGTTACTCATCCGGGACGTTATTAATTTTATATGATCGGTTGGTTATGGAGATGAAGTCTTGATTCAATTATACAACCGCTCACAGAAATATATCAGCATAACTTTTTGTTATTATTTGTGAGACTTCCGATGTCTTATCACTTGTTTCATATGAAAAGAACTCTCATCTGTAAAAGCAACTTGATTCCAGTTCATATCTTTATGTTGCATAGCCCACTCAAATCTTTTGTTAATATGACCACTGGTCAGCAATGGCTTTGAAGTTGGTTTCATTGATTGTATACCAGCTTCTTTAAATCTCCTTCTTAGTGTGGCTTTACTAACATTTATACCCTTATTCGATAATCTAGCTGCAATTTGACCTGTAGATTCGGTAGGATACTGAGCAACCATCGATTGAATAACCATGTCTTGTTTTTCAGTGGTTGATCGGTTACGACCAGGCTTTTGTATAACTTCTACATCTCCAGTTGTTTCGTATCTTTCGAGCCAATATCTTACGGTTGACTCCCTAACATGTAAATATTGTGATATATCAGTATTCAACATGTATGGACCATAGTTGTGTCCCCAGGACACCCATTCCGACCGTCTGAACGAGCATCTTAAAAGGTTTGAAACGTCTATAAAACGGTGTAATACGGTATTAATTTTCACTTTATTTCGCCGTAATCCGTCAGCTCGTTTTACGAACCGTTTTTTTTTTGCTAGAAAACGGCTACCGCTTTTAACACTATATTCTTCGTTTTTCGAGCTGACGAAAAGCGGCGCCGCTTTTCAACGTTTTTACATCGTTTACGGCATTTTACGCACCGTTTTCTTGGATATGGGACTTGATAAAAAGGCGATTTCTCATCTTTTTTTTAAAGAAATACTCATTTTTTTATTAGCTTATAAATTCATACGAGAAAGAGTACAAATATTGCTATTTATATCAGATGATAACGGTGAATAGTACTTTCAAACAAAGCAAAAATGTACAACAAAAATCCATTGCTAATGCAGCGATAGAGGGCACGACCACTTATGGCGCTTACTGTAAATCACCACATGAAAGAAATCGTAAACATCAATTGTTCATTATGCGCGTTCAAGATATCCATATAAAGTTTCTCTTGCCAAGTTTTCATTTCTTTTTAAAATACTTCAAGTATGTCGTCTTTACGTTTTCGATTGTAATAAACAAAAAAAAACATAGAATATTCGAAAAATAAAAACTAAAAAACTTTGTTTGGGTCAATGAAGCACTGTTTGTTTTTCTTTATTATTTCTTACAGTTCGTGAGCCTTTTCATTGTGACCAATAATCATGTGCCCCAATTTTTTCTGTTTATTCTGCTATATGTTAACTTCAAAATATATCCGATGCAGCTTGTACTATTTTGCCTGTTTTCTGTTTATGGTTACGAATGTTGTTCTATTGAAGTGAAACTAAGCGTAAATCAATTGTATGATTATCTTTAAATATTCACCGGATCAAATGAAGTTTCTTAAGTGAATAGTAGGGATGTGACAATACCAAATGGTATTGGTATCGATAGAGCATGATGCGGAATATGGAAAAAAACTTTGCCCGAATCATGATTAGAAAATTTGGTATAGCATGTCTGAAAGTTTCAGTCACACCTATACACTTGAAATATCGACTTAATTGCGTGAAATTTTTTAGTCTTATTTTGTTTATTATCGATGGAAAGAATCGATAGTGACATGTGATTATAAAGTGCTTTCTTCAGAGGTTTCTGCAACACCACTCAAGTAAATTTTGAACAATAAAATGAAGTACTACGTTAAATCATATTCATATCATTTACAAAATCGAGCAGTCCTAAATGGGAAGCTCATAGGAACGCTGACGATCGATTGTGAGCAGCCTCTTATGGTACACTTTATAAAATTTCAACAGAAGATTAAAAGATCTAGTCTTCACGAAATAGTTGTCAATCATAATATATATATATCCTGTACATGATTTACTGTCCATTGATTTGAAAAATTTGATTCCAATTAACGCTATTTTTGTATGAGGATTTACTATCCATTAATTTCTTCGAAGAAGAGAAATTAATAAAGTTATAAAAAAAAATATATAAATTCTATTTCAAGATTACAAGATAATATGGAAGCTCCAACTCCAAAGCGTCGAAAAAATAAAATTATGACAGATGAATGTTTAATTAAATTACGGCAGCGTTATGATGAAGATCGTCTCGATATTCCATCATTCTTAAAAGTTGCTGGACCTAGATGTTTTCAGCGTCCACCAAAAAGTTGAACGTCCATTCATCTTTTTTGATTTATTTATTAATCAATTCCTTATTATCTTTGTTATTTTCTCATATATTTGCTTGACTTCTTTTTTTTTTCTAAATATACATAGTTGATTGCGATAAATATTTTTCTGTTCATTTCTATTCTTCGAGGCAATCAACGGACAGTAAACCCTGTAAACCCAATAAAACAGGTAGTTATAGTCATTTATATGAAAATGAAAATTGATAAGGGTCTTATTGAAGATATCATTTTTTACATTGTCTTAATAATATTCCATCAAAGTTTTTCTCATTCAAACTTATTATTTTAATAATTATTTAAGAAAATCAAATGTTCAATTCAATTAATTAACGTATAAGAAATATAAAATTTGTTTTAAACAAAATTGAAAATCAAATCAATTCTCAATTGATTGTATGTGAGAATATGATATGAAAATTTCAGGAGAAGATTTGTGTTATTTTTCTACTTCCAATCATACTTAAACTAACTTGACCATGATTCTATGAGTTACATCGAACTCTGCATGGTATTCGACTTACTCTCTAATAGAGATATGTGGGAACAGCTCCAGTCCCGATCCCGGGACCGAAAAATCTAAAATTTTAGAAGAACCGTGACTGAAATTGAAATCTGTGATATTCTTAACTCTGACATTTTTAAAATTGAATTTTCCATACATCATAAATCAATTTATTATATTCATACTAATATCATGTAATACAGAAAATGTACATAGCATAAAGCAAAACAACATGAACGTAATTTCAGCAGCACCACGAAGAACTTTGGTTTTAAAAGAACGAAATTGATTAGGTGTCACTTGAGAGTCTTGTTTAAATGACGAAGTGATCCTTGGCGGAAGTTCTTTTGCTTTGAGACATCCAACAGAATGTTTTTTCATAACGCAGGTGCCATTCGATGGTATCCATGTCAAAATCGAACGACAGCCATTGCAAACAACGTATCTTTGACGAACATTGTTAATCAAGATTTCTTGCTATTTGTCCCAGTATGAACATTTTCCACAACGAGGTTTCGCGAAGGACAAATGTACATCGTTTTTCTTCACCAAATCTTCCATTTCTTGTTTGTAGAAAAATTTTTAAGTTGTTGAAATAGACATCGATAAGATTTAAATATGACAACGATCCTTTATCGATTGAATTGAGAATAAAGAATTTGAAACAAAGCAACCACGTGCTAAATGATATTAAGCCGAATTCATCAGTCGTCAAATCTTTATAGTTAAAAACAGCCGTCGGGATCGTTGGAAAAAAGCTGCCTGAGTCAAGAAAATAGTATGTTCATCCGTAATACGACCGGGACCGGAATCAAAAAAACCTGGTCCTGTGCATATTTATACGTCTAAAAGCATTTCGATTTTTCCATTTGAAATGCCATCTAGTAATGCTTTTAAAATATATTCCTAAGAGAACAAACTTGCTTCATTATTGAAAAGAATGAAAACTTTTAGGAAGACACTCGAGTGTACTATTTATAATTTATATTTTTCGTAAAATATAACCCTGTAGCAAACAGATTAAATGATTATTTCCGTTTGTACTTTAAATAAAGATGTGTTTTATTATAGAATAATTCTACAAATAAATAGGCAAACATATTTTATGATATTACACTCAATGCTACATATTGGTTTAGATAGGATTCTTTCTCTCTTGACAAAAATACGAATAAAACACAAGAGAATGGATTTCGAATATTAGCATAGAAAGATTGGCGAACCAAATTATTTCAGTTGAAAACTGAAAAGTTACTGAGTTTGTATTATTTGGAATGCTTGTTTTTTCAAACAGCTTCTACTCCAATATCTAAAGAAAATCTTCAGTTATTTTAGTATAATGAAATAATTGTTAAAATATTAAATGAAGAGATATACAATAAAGTTTAAGTTGTTTATTATATTTGAGATTGAAGAATATATTACTGATTATAATAGATACGATTTGTTTGCGACAGGATCATCGAAAAAGAATTTATTGACAATAATTGCCAACATTAAATAAAAGAAGAATCTTCATTTTAGCGTACGATCAATTTGATTGTAGTTTTTTTTTTGAATAAAATCTAAAGAAGTAAATTGAAAATATATATACAGTGAAAAGTCATAGAAAACTTTTTATTTTCATTGAAACCATATAGTGCTGCGGTTGAATGAACAATGAAATTAACTGACACAGTTCGTTTCTCAGCGTATTTCTATATTAAGATCGTAGCTTCTTAATTGCGGGCGAAGATCAAACCAATCACCATATTGACAGTGTGGATGAAGGCGAAAATAGATGTGATGTTCGCCCGCAGTTTGGACATACATATCTCTTATATTGATAACAGAAAATACTAACATGATCAGAAGAGAATTTTTAGCCTTGAAAAGCGACTATCTAATTGTTTTTCTTCTTTAATTTAGTTTTCGTATTATTAAATTTGAAAAAGATATGGGCTTGATAGATCGTCTTGAGTGACAATATCATTTTTTAACTTTCGATGTATCCGTAGTCGAACATCTTGCAAGCAAGATCTAAGGTACAGATTCATAAGAGCTCGAATACAAACGCTCAATATCTTCAACCACAACTCTATGCTGTTGAATCTGTTTCCCATAGAGTAAAATATTTATGTGAATATTTAATATTAGTTAAATTACATTTGAAAATATTAAACTAGAATACGAGCTACAGAAATACAAGTGATTTTTCGATTAACGTAAGGTCTATTGAAGCAAATTCAAATCAAGATAAGCTTATATCCTCCGGTTCTATGAATATGATGCTTTTAGAACGTTAATTTTCTACATTTTTTAATTGATTTTAGTTATTATGAGATCTGGTTTTTGCCCAATCAATATTGTTTCAAAAACCACAACGCACATTTTCTACAATTAAATCACACTTCTACAAGACAACATTATGATCATCCAACAATCTGACGCGTCATATGAATTGATTCAAGTTTTTTTCGTAAAATTCATCTGAAAATTTCTATGCATGCACACGTAGAATATGAAATACAAATCGAACTATTTATTTGACAAAATATTGAGTTCGTCAGTTTGCTTTTCTTTTTATTCTTTCTTAAATCTCTCAAATAGCAAGTTGGTAACGGCTGAGAGAAAAACAATAAATGTTAATAGTCGATCGAAAAGAGAATTGATTGTTTCTTTTTTTTATTTCGATTTTTGACTGGAGGTTTGTGGTTGTGCTGCTGTTTCTGCTGGGCCGACTGCTTTCTTCGATTTCATGACCATAGCAACAATGCGTTGTTCTTCTATGAGAAAAGCTCGAACGATACTAAAAAAAAAAACATAAAATCAATATTCTATACGAAAGTTCTAATTTTATTCTGTACCGAAGGCGAACACATTTGGCACATCGCGAGCCTCCATAACTACGTGATACTGTCTTCAATCGTTTAGTCATAGTCATACGTTGTTTTGGACGAGATGCTTTAATCTAAAACCACACACTATGTTAGCCGATTAATCATCCAATGAAACTTACGCCTGGTAATTCAATTTTGCAATCACCGCACTTTGGCACTGTGCCACGTTTTTTTACATATTGATATGTCAATTTACCTCCGGGTGTCTTAATACTAAAAAAAAGAAAGAAATTGGCTTATTGAATTAAAATTAAGCATTCAACATACACTTTAACCCGATTTGATCTGGTGTTATATGATAAACGACGACGATACGTTAATCGTTGAGCCATTTCTTTTGTACTTAACAAAAATGATCTAAAAAATAAGCATAAAAAATGTAGATTTCAATTTAAAAAATGGATAACTTTTAAAAAAATAGATGAAGAGAATAAATAAACATATAGGTATAAGAACGAATCTGATTGGTACATTGACAATGTCGAATCATAATACGATGCAAATCGACGAACCTCGCTCAAACTGCATTTGTGTGTTAATGAACTCTCTTATGGAATATTACTCACGTCTGTCATACATTCTATCAACTTTTGAAATGTATCTAAATTAGATCTTTCCCCATCTAAAAGAAATATGTTCTTTTTTGTCTACATTGGGAAATAAAACTTGAAGTCAAAGTCGTGTGTCTATTTGTGCTATGATTTAAGTAGACTTCTTTTTTTTAAATGGTTGAGTTTAGCATCGATACAGATGTTTATGGAGCTGTCCAAAAGCTGTTTGCTAGAAATCTCTTTTCAAAATAAGACGAGAATCTTTTTTAAATGTTTTTATGAAAATTATACTAGTAAATTATCAAGGCTTATAGAGCAACTTATGGAATAGATGAGATTTGATGTTTGTACACGTCTTATCAATATGGCAGTGCTAAGCTTTTGTTATATAGTTGGACGAAAAGCAGATATGTGGAATCTTTCGAATAAAGATGGCGAACATGCTTATATGTAAAATCGAAAATAAAACATAGAAGAATCAGTTCTCCATTGTAGTCTTATCTAAGTCTAACATAAGGAGTTTCTTGAAGAATTTTATTTTACGAACCAAAACGATTACATGATTTCAGTTACTAAATTTTCATCATTTTTTCTATTTCGCTTTTCTGCACTATCATCACAGATTGTCTTCTAAAGTTCGTATTTCAAAGAAACTCATTACCTATCTGAAAACGTCATTTTTAGCTACTATTTTTTCTCTGCATTCATGCATTGATAATACGTTACTCTAATACGGCTTTGAATTCACGTTATGAATTATAATCAAAATTACTATTATCGCGATAATATCCGATGAATGATGAAAGCAACATGTTGTCAATACCATACAATTTTATAGTTAATTCTTGTTTTATTGCTGTTCTTATCAATCTTTGAAAGTTTCTACAGATTGAGATAAAAGTAAAATAGGAGCTTCCAAAATAGAATCATAATGTGATATTGTAATCTAAGTTATAACAAACGTTAGCTGTGCAAGTCTTTGATGAGTTTTTAGGATAGATTTTAATTATTTATAATGATTACAAATAGCTGTGCCGAACGATGTCAATATTTTGCTTCTATTTACTGATTGCAAATATCGAATGACACAACGGGAGTAAGCATCCATGACTATTACTTACAGAAAATGATTTTCTTCATCCTTCATATTCAACCTCCTGAATATGAGCCTGCGCTTTAGCAGCGCTTACTCTGTAGCTCACGAGAAAGTTATCAAGGTCTTGTACAAATAATTCTAGATTGAGTCCTGTTCGAAGGAAGTAGCGCGAATTCAGCAGAGCCGGCGGCCAAAACAAACTGCCTTTGTTTCTTTTTCTTCTGTGCTGCATTTCACGATGCTTTTTTCGTTCTGTTTATTGACGATGACTTTTCTTCTTAGACATTCACTCACATTTTTATTCTTTCTTATAAAAGCCGTTATTTTGCGCGTTTATCGTTGTTAGAAATCGATGCGTTTCAAACTTTACCGCATATAGCCAGTGCCTTGATATTCATCAGATGGAATTTATATTTCTTTCGTGCTTTAGAAGAATATTAAAAAGATCGTAATTTCAATATAAGGAATTATATATATGTCAGCACAACAGGATGACACTTCCGACCGACTCCAAAGCGACCAAAATAAAGTGAGTATGAAAATATCAAAGAATCTGTTATGACAGACCAGATTTCTAGGGAACAACAAAGGGTACTAGTACTAACTAGATGTTTTCTATAAACTCTACTTCATAATATCGATTCATACCTACATTGTTGATTTCTAAAGGAGAAATAAAATTCATAAAAACAACAATAAATATTCATACGTTAAATCTTGCAGGAACATTTCTTTCCCGTACATGTTGATTATGCGGGTTTTTTTTTCAAAACTTTTACACTAGGATCATTAACTTTGAGATAAATATATCACACAGATGTCAACATTGGAATAGAACAAAGAATTTAGATGATATTGTTAAACTTTGTACGAGATTTTCTTCGACACGTACACTAGTTACAATCAATAATTTCATTGATTCAACTAGCTATTTATTTGAGGAATGCAAAATACTCATGATCATCAATTATATGCACTCCTATCGCATAATATATCATCTAATAATAAATTGTATTATCATTCTACTTTTAAAGAGACCGGTGCCGACAGCCAGACCTATCAACGACTATGTGAGGCAAAGTGGTGATCGTACGCAATCAAATACTGGTATTCTTAAATTTATTTTAATGCTCTATTTGAATTTTCAGCCTATTTCATATCATCAAGCTTCTGCTAAAAAATTTTCCTCTAGACCACGACTTTTTCGTTCGAGAAAATCGTGAACCAGAGAATTTCTTTTAGATTTTTGTCACCTATTAAAATAAAACACAAAAAACAATGATGCTTACTATAGATCATAAAATGGCGTATAGATTTCATTCGAAGAGTTATATCACAATTGTCAGCGGTCGTGTCCGATAATAAAATAAGTCATTATGTGATCATCTTTTTTTTTAAATTGATTTTCTTTATTATTTAATCAATATGGATAGTTGTCGAAATAATTGATTAATTAAAAGATCTTTTTTGTTTTTGATCAGTCACCCATTTTAGATGATCGCAGGAGAAAACACATTTTAGTCAATTTGGCCAAAAACTTTTAGTATAGCTGTGAAATATAAAAAGCAGACATTGCTTATTGCTAAATTACTAAGCCTTGTATTAAATTGCAGAGCGGCCAATAGAACCAAATCTGACAGATGCATCAACATCTTCCATGGGCAAGAAATCTTTCCAAAGATCGGCATCATGCTTTGAAGATTCTTCAAGTGGCTTACGAACACATACTTCACTAGGTGATAACTTTAGTTCGCCTCCATTACCAAAACCCAGATTGAATCAGTGAGTTTAATAAATTCTATCTTAAGTTGATCTATTTGATTTATTCGATAGACAAGCTTCATTTGGTGAACGTACATTATTCAATTCCGATTATTTGCATCAAACATCGACACAATCAAAACATTCAATTGAAAGGAGCAGTCCAATTTTTGGCCCAACTGAAAACTCTACAAGCTTATCATCAAAACACTCCATGGATGGCTCCTTAACAAGGAGTAGAACAGATAAAAGTTCAAGTAAAAATTCTCTTCGATAGAAAGTTGATAGTAGAAAGATTAGGAAAGCATCGCATTTTTGTTAATAAATAATCAACGCCGAGTATTTTCTCTTTATTGACTCCCTCTCAAATGACAGATAGTGAGAATAGAGAGATAAGAAAAATAGAATATTGCTCGATATAATGTCTATCTATTTCTATTGACGCGTGAATAATTTTCAGGGTGTATGTATCTTTGTTGAGAATGCAGGTTTGAAAGAGTCAAAGCACATTCATAACTTTAATTTCAGGGGATCAAGCATATGATGGAGGCAATGAAAGCTACGCTACGGTGACTACAACCAATCAGAATGATAATCAACTTCGTGAAAACCCAGCACTCACTGTCAGACTTGATTCAAAAGCTCCAACGTCAACATCATTGTCGAAACGTCCACTCGTGTCATCTAAATCATATGATGAAGCAGACGGTCGGCGAGCACATCCGCCGAGCACACCTCCATCAACTCCAGAAGTAGTTTCAAAACAAAAATCACCGTTTTCTGCTTATGCATCGCATTTATTTATATCCGAAGAAAATGATGAATCAAAGCGAAGATCTTTAGTAGATGATCGAAGTCGTATAGAACAGACGGAAATAATACCTTCGCCATCGGATACTCATCAGAGATATCCATATGATCGAACTTCTTCGCGAACATATGTTGGTAATACATCGAATTCATCCCTTAGTACATTATCAAGATCTTCAAGTCGAGAATATCCGATTATTGCATACATACCTTCATTACCGTCTACTACCGAAAGCTTCAAGTTAAGAATTACCGAATGTTTGTGCCAAGAACATAAGCTTCAAATAATCGATATTAAATGCAGTTCGCAATTAGATGTAGGTATTATATATCTAAAAGATGAGAATGAGAAACATCATCTAGTTAACAATATCAAAAATATTACTGTCAGTCCAGATTCCAACGAAATAGTTTCATTTGTAGCTGAACTCGAATTGATTTCCTATGTATTTATTCGATCAAAGGATAGCCGAAATCTTCCATCAGCTAATGAAATAGCTCAACAATGGATTAAAACCTACGATGGCAACTGTCCAGCAAATTGTGAAAGCCTAGGTGATGAATGTCGAAACATATTTCGAATTGTTACAAACAGATTCAGTGAATTTGTCAATAAGCCAGTTCCATTATCTTTCTGGATCGACAACCAATTAGTCGAAGTCTACTTCCGTGCTGATTGCTGCTTTTTGGAAAATTTGCCAATAAACTTCAATGAAAGTAATTTAAAATCCGTTATTGCTAAGCAAATTAATAAGAATGACATATCAGACAAATCAATTTATATTCAATATAATCAAGCAGAGGCCAACGCTGTTGTCTTGACACGTGACGAAGCTCGATCATGGGCATCATTTCGTTTGATTAATTTGGATGGACATTATATTGTTAAGGTTGATCAACTCTTTTATCAACTTAGAATACCAAATGCACCCGGTAGTATTTCAGTTTCAAGTCTCGAAAACTCCGAAATGTTCGCCGGTACCGGTGTAAAAGTGAGACGTTGTCGCGGTGATATCATCCTGGATCTGGCGGACAAACATTTGTTTGAAAAATGTCTCAAAAAAAGTACTCTTGATATTGAAAATTATAAATTGAAAATTCAAGCTTATTCATCATCGACGCATTATGAAGATTGGGAAATCAATGGCAAAAATTGGTATGAAACAGAGATGTCTAACTGTAAATCTGATATTATGCAGTTTATCTATGAGCCTGAACATCCGATTTTTAAATTCAAGTGGAATCCAGAAGCATTTTTAGAGCAATTTAAACGTTGGACTGCAAAGCCCAATAGTAACGCGACCAATCAACGTGACCACGATGGAAATCTCAGTAATAAGCAGCGACATTTAATACGAATGACAGTTATGCTAAATACAATTGGCGTTTTGAAACAAGGAAGTTATTATACAATTAACAAGGAAGTCAAGTTGAAATCAAAACCATTGAAAACCATTGTCTATAATCATCAGTCAAAATTGCAACATGCGACGACAACATCAATATCTAATCCAATGAAGTATCCATACAAAATCACACCTGTCAGTGTTATAAATCAGGATTGTCTCGTTGTGTACGAGGACTTACTTTTAAAAGGCCACCGTCCATTACTTCTCAACATGGCGAATGCTTTTTCACCAGGCGGAGGTTATCGTAAAGGTGATGGCGCACAAGAAGAGAATATTTTTCGTCGCTCTAATTACTATCGAAGTCTTGATATGGATCTTGATGATGGGAAACCAACCGATCGCTTTTATTGTACATCTAATTGTGATACAAAACCACTCATTGGAGGTGACAAAATGTATCCAATGGACGAATTCGGAGCAATTTATACATCGGGATTAACAGTTTTTCGTCAACGTGAAGATAATGGTTATGATTTCATGGATACACCTGTCTATGATGTATGTGCTATAGCCATAGCTGCATATCGACATCCGCCATTAGATAGGGATGATAAGAATCTGCTCAGCAAAAAATATTCAATTAAAATGCGTAAGAAAATTGAAAACATCTTTGCAATTGCTCATCATCATGATCATGATTGCCTTGTTCTTTCTGCATTCGGCTGTGGAGCTTTTAGAAATCCACCCACACATGTCGCAAAAATATTCAAATCGGTTATCGAACAGTATGCAGGATTTTTCGAACATATCTATTTTGCCATTATTGATGATCACAATACTGGTCTAGATTTTAATCCTAATGGGAATTATCGACCTTTTCAAGAAGTTCTCGATAAATTACAATATAAACCCATGCGACAAGAAATGTCTGATACGATGATCGGACCTTGGCGCATTTTGAACAAGACAAACAATGATAATATCGCCTTAGATGATGTTAGAATTTATCATTTACGTCCATGCTCTTATGGAGGTCAATGTAGAGACTTAGACAAACAGCAACATTGTCGTGAATATATGCATCCACCACTATGTCCATACACTGATAACTCCAGAGATTGTAAATTCGAAAACGACAATGATCATATGCTTTGGTTTAGACATAAAATAAAATGTTCGTATAGTGATAAATGTCGGTTTACCGACGATCCAGTGCACATGGCTCATTACGAACATCCAAAACTCAGTCGTGATGATAGAGGAACTGCAGGTATGAATCAAGAATGTGCCCAATACGGTGGCGATGTACGACTTTCGAATGATAATGATTCTATCTCTACTCATAACGATGTTCGCAAAAGAAAAACTATAATAAAAGAAGTTAATGAATTTCTAGCAACTTGTCCATTTACACCATTCCATTGTCAACAGTATAATTTATTATCGCAATCAACTGATAGTGAACAACTACCACTCGATGTTCGAGATCATTGCCGCCATTTTTTACATGTATGCCGATTAGGTCGTCAATGTTGTGAAAAATTAAATTCCCATCTCGAAAAAACAATTCATGTCGCACGTAACATATGTCCGGATGGCGAAAGATGTTCAAAACTTCATCAAGATGACCATTTAGGATCATTATCGCATGCCAAAATTGATGATATTCGTGTACTATGTATATTTCCAGCCTACGAATGTCAAGATTTTCGAAAGCCTGAACATACAAGACGATTTCGACATTCTGGCAATTTCGATAATAGCAGTGTCATTCAATACTGTGAACTGAATAAGCGAATAAATTTTCTTCAAAATCAACAAACAATTGTTGCAACAATAAATGATTACGCTAAAAAATTGCCATTAAGAACTTCACTGTCAATTCCAACGAACATTCAACGATTCATAAGAAGCTGGGTACCAACTTATCAATGTTCAAAAGTCATTTTTGAACTCATACTCGCACATGGCCATGTTATGTCTAACAAAACTATAGAAGAGTTACAGATGCCAAACCTATTGATTCGAACTATTCAACGAAGCAAACAAATAGAGTCGATTGCTAATCTATATAAGAATCAAGCAATTTTAGATCACATCAATAATTATATTAAAGCTATTTTCTTTATTGAATATAATAGACGAGTTTGTCAAACTAAATCAACGGTTACGAACGAAAGATCTACTACTTTTCTTCCACCATCGGCAATATCATCGGATGATGCAGATTTAAACGATACAATTCGCACGGAAGAGAAATGTCTAAAAGATATGTTAAGCCAAAAAGAAGTCGATATCATTCGTCGATCTACCATCGCAATTGCGCAGATATCATTGGATTCTCAAATGAATCCGGCTGATCTCCGAAAGACACCAAACGAATCATTCAGCCCTGACAAACATATCTGTACTATATTTGGTCCGCAACTTCGTTGTGATCACGGAGATATTGTTCTTGTATTCAAAAGAAAAGTGATGCTTCATCCCGATGCAAATTTTTGTCTTCAATCTGACGACGCTTTTTTAAAAGGAAATGCATTTATGCAACGACCATGGATGAAAGATTCGGGTTCATTCCACGGTCGGATGAAGCAACTGCAAGAAGCAAAATTACATTGTTCAATAGACGGTCATGATTATGCAGCAGCAGCTGACCTCATGGCTACAATAGGTCTACGAGATAAAACAATGAACGTCGATCTAAAAACAATCACAAAACATTTGAAAAGTATTGATTCAAATACAGCATTCGAGGGCCATTTGCCTGACTTTATTCCACTGGATTACATAGGTGAAGTTTACATACCGAAAAATCTCTTTCAATCGCTTTCATCAGCAGCTCAAAGGGCAGCCAGATCAATTTTTGGTGATTCATTGCATATAACAAATCATGAGGTTAATCTCAATCCTCAAACTAGTGGAGGATCACGCTCATTGGAAAAAAATCGTGTTGATTATCAACAACATGTTATCGATAAATTGATTGACGTATCTACTCTAGATACGGAACCTTTCCAAGAACTACGTGGCATTGTTATCACTTTGCCACCTAGCCATTTTCTTGAACATGTTCCGTTACCTTACACAATAGAACAAATCTACGATTATTACATTCAAAGTCAAAGTCACAATTCAATATCCAATGAAATCTACATTTATTGGCAAGCAATGTATGGTGATATGATGCTCACATTATCGACTGAACCACTCGCTAGTATTGATAATCGACAACGTACTAAGTGTCTCGTATGTTATATTGCTGGAACACCATCAACAACGCCAACTGATTATCGAGAGTCATATACATATTTGAATCTAGGTGATCCATTGAAACATGAATATGTTATGAACAAACGTTCGTTTTTAGCAAATTCGAATACATTCCACCGTGGCTGTAATCTAGATGATTTTCTTCTTTATTGTTTAAAACTTCAGAGAGACACTGGCCAAGTAACACTTTCACATGCTGGACCGAATAGCATCTACAGTTATGAAACTGTTTCATGCATGCTTTCAAAATCAGATTTTAAATTGACTGATTTAAATTTTATTCATATGAGTTCTGGTTCACAACAAGTGCCTGTTCGAAATCTAATGGTTTGCTTTCATCCAATACCCGATTTTCATCCTGCATTTGATCAATACTGTAAATCAAACAACAGTCCTCCGATACAACCAGCTCCTCATAGTGCTGACCGAGCGCGATCAGCAGCAGCCGCAAAGCCAGCAGAGAACAATGCTCAATCGAATATCTCGAAACTAAATCAGTTTCCTGGTGGTTCACGTGAGATTGATATTGATAGGAGAAAAATACAGCCTTGTCGAGATTCAATTAATTGTATTAAGATAATGTCAGAAGAGCACTGTAAGCGATTTTCGCATCCTTGCCGATTCTCTGAAGTTTGCCGTAATAAAGACAGAGAACCAAATTTGACGCATGAACCACATAGAGTATCTAACTGTTCATTGGGTAGATCATGTACAAAACTTGTCGATCCTTATCATCGGGCAGCGTACCGCCACGTCGAGCTTCCTGATTTTCTTTTTCCATGTCGTGATCAAAATGAGTGCAAAAATCGAACTTTCGAACATCGAGTAAAGTATTCACATGGTGAAAAACTTGAGCGAAAAAGAATAGATGAAGACCCTGCCAAACCACGTAAGTTGCTTTTATCTAAATCGACATCTCGATAACGAATCATTTGTTTGTACAAAAAGGTTCGTCTTCCAATCCATCATCATCAGAAAGTTACATAGACGACCAACGCAATCCTCGTAATCAGCAACATCAAGGTCATGATGAAAATCGCAATGAAAAATGTCCGTGCCGATATGGATTAAAATGTCGTGATCAAAATATTGCGCACCATCGCGCTAAATATTCTCATCCGTCCAATCAAGATAACGGGCGAAAACCGTGCCCATTTGGTTCCGCTTGCTATAACACGACGGATGCCAAACATACATCCGAATTCTCGCATGGATAAAGTTAAGCAGACATAAACCGACAATTTTTATTTTAAATAATTTAATCATGAAGTAAATTCTAATTTTTCTTTTTATATTATTAGCATTAAATAGACTTCAAAGGATTCTCTGCTTATATCTTACAAGATGCATAGCTCGAATGAAATTTGTCAAGAGCGTATTATTGCTCGCGTCTATGTAACGGAAATCTTTTCGAGAAGAAGAACATTCGAATAGCCGAGCTGTCAATTAAAGAGATATCAATTATTGTCGTGATTGCTGTATTTCTCTAAAATAAATATTGTATTTAATTGAATGATAAAATTTCATATTATTTTTCTTTTTAATATTAAATGATTACGTTTTATCACTCCAAGGTTATTGATACAATAAATAAGCGAATAAAATATATTTTCTAAGTTGAATACAGTGTGCGTCAAAATCAATTATACATTAAATAGATAGTTTATCATTTGCTTTTCCGAAAACAAAACTCTTAGCGTAGTGACTATCGTGTTGAAACTTTTTTAGTTGTTTCGCTAAGTATGAGAACAAAAAGTCCATTGAAGAATATCTTCTTTAAACCTCTGCTAACAAAAATCAATCGATTCCGATAAGTTCAACTTCTAAGATATCAGCAAATAAAACAATTATCTATTTGATATACGTAGAAGTAATTTTGAGTGCTACTGTATATGTTGTGTTTTTTCTTCTAGTCAAAAAAGTGATACGATTCCAAAAAATATGAAATAATTCTTTTTTTCTTTTTCCTGTTTGTTTGTTATTTTGGTTGTTTTCATCGAAATAATAAATTAAGGTACTTGGTTAGTTCGCAACAATGTCCTATTCTAAAACAAAGCGTCCGATTGATGTTTAAATTTGTCAATATCATTTTTGTGCTGTTGCATGATATCGATGTGGTCGACTACTTGTTTTTTGTCGACTATTTCCAGTTTGTTTTCCTTTTGCATTTGGTAGATCGGGAATAATTGGTGTTTGTTCAATAACTTCTTCTAATCGTTCGAGTTCAGCAGCTGATTTTAAACTTTTATATAATTTCCATTCGTCTTTTTCTTCATGTTCAATAATATTCAGGTCAAAATCAGCATCACTTCGTCTTGTACTTTTATGTAATAAATATTGTCGAGCATGTTCACTTAATTTGGGTGCCAGTGCTTTCATTAATAAATCAAGTATATCTTGTATTTGAGCTTCTTTAGCTAGATCGACAGCTGTCATACCTTCCCAATTATTTAGCAATGGATTGGCGCCATTTTCAAGAAGCATACGGACAATCGACGCATGATTAAACATAGTTGCAGCATGTAAACACTAGAATAGAGAAGAAAAAACAGGAGATTTATAAGCTAAGCAATTTTGTTTTTCTTCTACGAACTGATTCTCCATTTTTAAGTAATTCAAGGTTTGGTTTGAATTTGAGCAATTTATTAACCAATGATTCGTATCCTTTTTGACATGCTTTAAACAAGGGTGTTGCACCGTCTTCACGAGCTAAATCAATTGTTTCTTTAATGTTCTCAACATTTTCAATAATATAATCAAATATAGTTTCGTGTCCATGTTGAACAACAAGAAATATGGGCGTTATACCATCTAAACGTTTCATGGTTAAATTGCACTGACCAGCCGATATAAGCATTTGTACAATAGATAATTGTCCATTTTGACATGCAAGCATTATACCTGTTGTACCATCATTCATTTTCGCATTTAAATTTGCTTGTGACTCAATTAATAATTTAACAATATCAGCAAAACCACGTTCGCATGCAACATGTAATGGTGTTGAACCATCGAATGTAGACAAATCAACAATAGCTTTATATTTATTTAGAAGAAGTTCAACGATACGTGTATGATGATACGATGCAGCAAAATAAAGTGGAGAAGCACCTGTTATACGTCGAGCATTGGGATCAGCACTGTTACTTAAAAGATATTCAGCACATAAAAAGTGACCACGTGCACATGCCAGTAATAATGCTGTTGAATTTTCTTTATCACGACAATCGATAGGTAAATGTGCTTTAGTGACGAGTTCTTGTAAAACAGTTAGATTTCCTGTTAGAGCAGCTATGTGAAATTTTTGATTCAACGCACGATCAGGTGGCCCTGGCGATGGAGAATGAGGAGATGGCGATGGAGAACGTGTTACGGATTTTGTATTTCTTGATGATAAAGTACTAAGGAGATTTCGGCGAGTTTCAGTTGGTTTTATTTGATTTTTGCCATTGTTTTCATCATTGACATCATCGTCATCTGGCTCTTGATGGCTTATATCTGGTATAATAGGAGTATCACTCATTTTTACAAATAGTCAATTACATTCAAAAATATTTGTTCGGTGAAAAATCTATGTCGTACGGTAGATGGTATTAATGTGACGATAAAGACTAGATGATAAATAGTACTAGCAACAGGAAATCACAAAAACAGATAAATCAACCAGTCAGCTACGAGGGAGAAAAGGAACCTTTCCTTTTCTTTTATTGTACATAGAACATTTTTGCTATTACAAGTACAGAATAGTGCAGTATAGCAAGCAAACAGAGAGAGAAAAAGAAAAACATTTATTTCTTGCTCGAGGATACTAGTGTGTACAGAAGAAGCAGAAGAAGATGTGCAGGCGAGTTTTTTCTGTACTTTCTCTTCATATATATCAATGTCGATTGTTGCCCAAGTTTAGCTCATTCATATTGTTTTTTTTTGCCCACTTCTCTCTGGCAATATGACAGCACATAGTGGAGAAAGTCAGATAGAAATAGAACAATGTGGCAATAGACAAAAAAGAATAAAGAATGGTTGATTTCCCATATGTGATATTTTTACTATGCAATGAAGGCAGTAACATGTGTTTTTTCGTAGAGGAAGAATGAAAATTATTGAAAATATATATTTCATTTTAAGTAGAATATTATTGATTCTAAAATAGTATATCGACTGAGTGTTACGTAGAAATTTTGCGATCAATCACAATCGTGTTACTATGATATACAGGCAATGGCATCTGCCGCTATTTGCCATGGTAGAGCAAGAAAAAGAGTATATAATCGTTATCATGGAATGTCGTACTGCTACGTATAATAATGGCATTTTCTTGAGATAGATGGACATTTGTCTAGATTATTTGATCATCCTCGTACGTTTTGTTATTTATGCATTTATTCTTTTAATAAATACTTTTGGTTTTTCTTTCTTTCGTTCTTATTCATCTAATAGCTTGATTGTTTTTTGTCTAATATTTCATGAAACAAGACGTTCCATTTATATAACTTGCATCATCTTACTGTGTTGTTCTATTAAAATACGAAAAAATAACAACACACGGCAGATGACAATTTTTCGCTATTGAAACTCAATCATAGTTAATGTGATTATAAGTAAACAAACGACATTATTCTTATCGATGCTATTCTAGATATGCCATATAAAACAATAGTAGCATCTTTTGAGCATGTGCCACTTCAACCATATTTGTTTCTTAACCAAATTCGATACAGACGAGGGTCATGTGAAAGATATACAGTACTTCTTCTGGATGATTATTTTTTATATAAACATAATTGTCATTGAACTAGAATAGATTTAATTTGAAGATGAACTATTTCATTGGTTGGTGTGTTTGAAGCAGATTTAAAGAGACTTTATCTACTGCATAATTATTAAATCGAATGTAATTTGACTTTGTTATCACAAATATGTGTTCACCAGTTTACTTGAGTATGATCAGAACATTACAATTTTCTCAAGGAATACACATGATAACGAGATTTATATATAGAGGTCACTAAAAGAAGCTATGGATCTCTATCATAGTCTAGATAAAAAAAACGGCAATATTGAGTTTAGATTAGTAAAAAAACACACATCTAATTATCTATTATATTAAGTTTTAAATGTAAACCAAATGAAAAATGCGCCATGAAGTGAACAGAGGCAAACACATCAATTTTTAAATAATTAAAAATAACACTAAATTCTTTACATTTTTCTTTCTTTTTAACTTAATGTTAATAGTATAATCTTCCTGGCACTAAAATCAATTTTCAATGCAATGAACTGGTTTTATGCAAATATTTCCTGAGTGCCTATATTCAGGGGCCGCGTGACCAGCGGGAAGAGGAGGGGTGTACACCCCCCCCCCAATAATTGAAATTTTTGATTTTTCTCAAGCGAAAAGAGCAGCTTTTTCTGCATTTTACGTTTTTACTGCAGGATTTCGCTGTAAATACGACTTTACACCCCCTTAATATTTGGTCCTTCGCGCAGCCCCTGTCTATATTAGGAATCAAAAATTATCTTAATCTAGTTTTGTAAGAATTTTAAAACAAACATTCTTAACTGCATCCAAACAATATAGTTGATAACGTCAAGAAGTTAGTACCATCCACAAATGAATCAATATGATCACTATAGCATGTACTATGCTATGAGTTATTTGTTTTTAATCTGTTTTTTTTTCACAAATAAATTTTGAATATTTAGTTAACTACTTTAATTGATTACGTAAAAAAAACACAAACAACATATAAGAAAAATCACGAATAATTAAGATATTTTCTTTAATATAAATTTCATTAAAATGCACTACTATATATATCTTCCCATGAACAGATAAAAAGCTTGTCTTTGTATTTATTCTTCTTTTTCTTCTTCTTCTTCTTCTTCACCCTCGCCTTCACCTTCACCTCCACCTTCTTCCTTATTTTCTTCTCCGCCTTGATCTTCTCCACCAGCATCTCCTTCATTTTCATCACTTGGTGTTGGTTGCGGAGCAGGAGGTGGTACAGGTTGATGATCGCCACCACCACCACCACCACCACCTTGTGCTAATGTCCATAAGGCCTTTGGATTACTAGTTGTTTGTTTTTGTAAAGTAAATCCATTTCGACGAAGAACATCAAGAACACGTTGTGGGGCATCTTGGCAAAGAACACCTTCTGCATGATCAGATAATCGATCGTTTGAAAAATTTTCTTGTAAGGTTCGGATCTATGTAGACAAAACAAAAAATACTTTTCATTGATGCATGAATGTGAAACCAAAAAAAAATATCGATACGAATATCCTTACGGTATTCATGATACCTTCAAACTCAAGTATAAGGGAGCAACGTAGAAAACGAGAGCTAGTGTGATCTTCCTGGGTATGATATCAAAGAGGTCAGATAAATTTGTCTTATAGATGGCGCTGCTAGTATTTTGTGTTTTTTGGCGATTGTTCCCAGTAAATAATTCTTTTCACATTTGAATAAAAAAATTCCCTGTAATTATTCTTAGTTTCAACCAATAGTTACAATCGTGGTCGCTGATTCTTATAAATATCATGTGTGTCGAATAGAGGTGGTAATTCGAATAAACATATTGCATAAGCCTCAATCTTGTTGATTCTAGCTTACCACTTCTGGTGGAATTTTGTAATGTTCTACACCAGTCGAATGAATAAGTGTTGGACCAGTTTGAGATTTATCCAAATCACATGATATAGTTAATTGAAGAGCCATAAATATGTAATTCTAATATGCTGACCTTTAAAAAAATTCAATAGAATATCGTATCGTATGAAACACGCTGTCTGTCTTTCTCCTTTCTTTTACTACTACAATGAATAGATGCTACGCGACCTATGGTATTATATATTTTTTCTCTTTTCTCCCAAACAGACCCAGGAACGAGAAAAAAGAGCCATCACGTTACACAAAGAGAGCCAGCGAATAATAATAGAATAAGAGATCGGTTAACATCGTTACTATAAGACGCAGCAAAACAAGCATACTAGATGGATGGAAGAAAAGAACAACTTGCTGGCATAGCAATAAGCATTAATCATTTTTCTCGCTTTGATCACTGTAATGAGTATGTATTGATGATGCGAGAAAAAAATATAGAACTTGACCTGGAAAAGAATCAATCGAATACGTAATGATGTTTTTTCAAAGCAACATCTAGAATCATTATTTTTATCCTTTTGAGCTCGGTCAGAATATCTATCAATCAATTAAACAATCTCTGTAAAAATCATTTGTTCGTCTACTCACCAATCATATTCTTTGACCTATTCTCCAGATAGAATAGATATTGTCTTTATTTTGCTATGAGATAGTATATCATGATAAAAACTTCGGGCATTGTCTTGATTTGAAAATCAATGCCTGACTGATACGAATAAGTGATGATACATTACGACATAATGGATATTGCATTACACAAGAACAGTAAAAGCATTCTAGCACAGTAATAGCGCTGTTGTTAGAACTGTTGAAAAACATTGTACAAAACTTTTGATACAAAAATGATTTATCTTATATAAATTATTTATATCACGATCAAAACAGTCTTCCACCAACATTAATTTGGCATTATTATTTCTCAATAGAATCTGCATAGACGTTGAGCATATTATAAATTTTGTAACTCCTACTATTTATTCATAGAATACTTGTTATGATTTCAAAACATTTTTAACTGTTCAATAAAAGAAAATGATGGAATACAATCATTACAGTCTAGTTTTATCAATATCTGGATATTTAATTAAAGTGAGATCCTCCTCAAGAATTTCTTTGAATGAAAAACCACATGTAGTAATTGTATTAAAATGATCGTCCACCTGTTTAATACGTTCTTCACCGAGTTTCTCAAACGCTTCCCGTAACAAACGTAACGATCTGTTACGGTGAAACATAGCTAAACATTCAAACTCATCCTCAGGCCATCGATTATCCAATTCGCTTAATTGAGTTAAATACATCGGACATCGCTTAGGATTACGCTCCCAATTATGATTATGATCGAAAATTCCATTGTTACTGTCTCGTGCTCTTTCACAATCTTCCACTTTTTTACCACAAAAATAGCACCACAATTGTGAACATTTCGGACAAGTCATATGTGTACAAGCATCATCTTTCATACCGGCTAAACCACAAGTTGGACAAGGCACTTTTTGACCTAATTCAACATATCGATCAAGTTCATGTTTATCGTCAGCTAATTCAGCACATTTAAAATGTTTTTCCATTTCAGCGATTTCTTCATCCATAGCATAGTCATCTTCAATTTTTGGACAAGCTTTTCGACATATTAAACAGGATACTTTACCACACTCTGGATGATCACAATAGAATATATGTGCAGCATGAATATTTCGTATAACAGCATTTGTACAAAATGGACAATGGTCTAACCGTTCGTCTCCACGAAGAAATCCCTTCGCAAGTGAAAATACCAATATATGATTAATATAAATTCCAAGTTGTTCTTCTGTTAATTGTCGTTCAAATACATTCGGTATTAACTCGATACAACATTTTTGACAACGTAAAGGTATATTCTGTTCTGGTTCAGAAAAAAACAGTCGGACAATATTAGCTGAACACTCGGTGCAATAATGATGCCCTTGAACGCATTGTATACCAGGGTGATCGGGTTCTAGTTGATCTCCACAAGTTTCACACAAGATCTCGTCTTTGGTTTTCGTTACTGTTGTTGCACGAGGAGGCTCGGTGAGAGTTGACATTTTTTATGAGTGAAGTTACAATAAGCGGTAGTCACGAAGATGTCTACAGAATTGAAATAAAATAGTGACTGGGAAGAAAAGAATGACGAAGAAAAAACAAGTCTATTCGATAAAGCCTGAGAGAAAAAAATTTTAACGTCTTCTTGCTTCGCAGCGAGTACCACATCCATTGTAGAGACAAAGAAAAAGTTTGAAGAATAAAAAAAGCATTGCGTGTTTTGAAATTAAAAGGGTTGAAAGCTCATAAAAAATATTATTTTGTGCCTTGGACATCATAGTAATTTATTTATATATATATATATATATGTTACATAAGAAACGTAGAGAAAAAAATCGAATATAATTTAGTGTTTTTCTAATAGATGAATGAAAAACATGCTCAGATCATTGGAACTGTATATTATCAGGTTCTTGAGCATCGCCATATAATGCCACAACGCCATACGATAATAACGAACCAACAAATATACCAAATGTAAGTGCCTAAATAGAAATATAGAGTTTCAGATGTGATTCACGAAAACAAAAGGTAAACACGTGATATACATATATTATCAACGAATCCTTATCTATAAAGCTCGTCTCATCTACTCGTTTGTGAGAACGCCTGCTTTACCTTATAACGAACAAATAGCTTGTAGATTATTTTCCACTACTTTTGAGAAATCTCTAGTGCTAAAATAACTGTGGATTTTACAGCATCTTTTCCAGTCGAGATATCTTTCAGATTGCATGTTAAAATAGTAAAGCATGAAGACATGACGACTTATGAAAATATACTACTATTATTAATTTCTCATGTTAATCAGCAATAGTGTTTCTCAAAAATAGATTCTGTAGTTATCTTAACTACAAAAGCCATGGTATCAAAAATTCACACTAAATCTTCTAAAGTCGAAAATTTTCCCAAATCTTTTCTATTTGCTCAGTAACAAAAAAAATCAGAAACGGTTCAATCCACCCGTATAGCAGTTGGGAAAAACCGAGATCATGATGATCATAAAAATTGGTATGAATTTCTCGTTGAAGTCAGAATTATAAGCTTTTTCACCAAGGATTGTTCCACAATTTCTACATTTAGTTATAAAACTAATAGATAAATAACATCGAACATACCATGAGCATAAGTGCTCCAACTGTACTACTCAATTGAGCATGAACACGTCGTGGTGCATACATCATATTAAGTGAGTTACAATAACCATGTGACAAAGAAAATAATAAGACAATCGATGCATAAATAAAATCATTTTTAAACACATATGGAAAACCATTCGTATTCGGAAAATGACATAGACCAAATAAAGGTATAAATATAAATCTTAGTAGACATATAAAGAAAAGAAGACGCGATCGTAATATTGATGGGATTTGAATTTTTGCTGATATCATACGGCCAAGTGTATCGCCGACATTAAATAATAGAAATGTCATTACTTGCGTATATAAACGGTCTGTCCACAGTGTATGTGGATAATCAATTGAAGGATACGCAGGTTGAATTTTTGACATGTACGCTGGAAAAAGTGATAGTGTGCAAACAAATGTTAAAAATATTCCGAAAAAATTCCATTTCGTATGTTTATAAGCAACAAATAAACGTTGGCGTAATGCTAATGCTGTTATGTTGAGTGAATCAATTGCATTATCATCTAATATTGATGAACGAAGTAACGGTTCATGTTCATTGTTTACTTCTTGTATTGACGATGAATATATTTGTAATAAGTGAGATTTTTCAACATAGATATATGTTAATAAATTCGATGCAATGACAAATAGAGCAAGAAGAAAATATATAGCAGCAGAAACAGATATATCATTTGAAAATAATATGGATGCTATCGAACATAATACTACAAATACACCGCCAAGTGCTTGACCAGCAACAAATCCTAAAAAATAGACGGTAGTTTTGTTATTTATTTATTTATCTAAAAGTGTATCCGTTGTAGTTCTACAGTTAGCTAGAGCCGATCAGATCTGGGTCTGAAAACTTTGATCAATATATTATTTTGATTTGAATTTTCGCTCGTTGTATTCAAAACCTCTGGCGTTTATTTATAGAAAGTAGGACCCGATGAGCTCTACCTACAGTTTGTAGGCGCCAGGAAGCTCGACTAGAGCATATTCCATTAGTAATATCCGAGATGGAATATTTTCAAGTGAATTTTGTAGAGAAACCTGTGTTTTTCCAATGGAAATATCAGGGCTATTATGAAATAAATCAACTGCAGTTATTCACGATTTTGTTTAAATTGCTATTTCTAAACAAGATTCTTCTTTTAATTAGGATACTATTTCACTTGGAATCTCAATACAATAAAAATTCGTTTACTCATAAAGATAAAATCATTAAAATAGATATCGTGTAAACTAACACATACGAAGATTGCTTTACAACATTATCTTGTAAATCATAGAGCAATATAATCCTATTCATTTCATTCAATAAAATATTCATAGCAAATAGCTGGCAAACTCGATACTTACATAAATTCTTTCGGTTTCTTATCATGTCTATTACAACTATTTTGTCTAAATAGATTATAAATGTAAAAATTTGACTTCAATCAATGAGTGTTTTATAGAAGAGTCTCTCAGATAAGAATATCATGCTATATATTACCTTGAATATATCGGCTAGGTAATGTCGATGCTAATGAAAAGAAACAATTGAGTAAAATAGCACATAGAACACCTTGAATCATAACGAGTCCCATCGTTACGATAAAGAATATTTCACGCCATTGATTGACATTGACAAAAATAAATGCAAAACATATCAATAAGCATATGGCGATGCCACTTAATGATGAGTATATACGATATTTATGTATATATGGTACACAAACAAATGTAACTAAAATTGTTGCAATTAAATTAGGTACAGATACGCTAAGTGTAACAGCATTTTCATATGACAATTCAAGACGTGATGCTGATGAATTTGGCGTTTTTGAATCATGCAGTTTATAACGAAAATATGGATCAGCTGTTATAAAAAAATTAAATGGTAATAAAGAACCAAGACCAAGCCAAACAAATGCCCAATAAGACCAACTGTGCCCATCCACTGCTAAAACAAGTGGTACCGATGTTGTCGATACACGAGGTGAATGACTCGGGCTGTCCATTTATATCTGAAGAGAAATTCTTTACTTTTATTGTAAATATTTTTTCGAAATTAAAATTAAAAATAAATATAAAAAATGATGTATATTAGCAGATGATACGAAGTTATCTGGGTTGCTTGTCACGCGGGGTTTAACATATGAAAATATTTATAGTCATTTTTGTTCCTAGAGAGTACACCAATAACGATCTGGTCTGATAAAAATGCGTAAATGATGATCTCGATTGAGGTTGTTCATACCGAATGCAATAATTATTCGACTATCTTGTACGTGAATGTTTTCATTAAAACTTTCAAAATAATCTTTAATATAAAGAATGATTTCAAACAAACCGAGTTCATCCACTGTATTTGCTTGAACCAATACATGTGGATTACTATTGGCTATTATTGTATCGTGTTTAATATTAACACGATTTGAATTATCATTAATGCGCCATAAATCGTACTGAATATCGTCAGCATTCTGATTATGAACATCATCATGAACCGATACTGTTAGCTTTCCAGTCATTTTAAGATGTAACAAAAAAATAATAAAAAAATAAATGCTATCTAAAAATAGAATAGAAATTCTTTTTTTTTGGTATTGCGTCATTCACTACTTATCTAAATGCAACAAAAAAAACACTATTTTGAGCAGACCCTGAACTTTCAATGAGTTATTCCGCCATGAAAAAAAAAACGCAATGTATATATTTATAAAAAAAACGAAGAGAAAAAGAAAAAAAAACATAAGAAAAAAAATCTCATCGTTTAACTCTAGAAGCAATCCAATCTAAGCCTTGATATAGACCCTCTCCTGTCAAAGCACAACATGCTTGTATATGCCATGCTTGATCTTTAATCGATGTTAAACATAATTGTTTTGATATTTCAGCTGATGTCATTGCATCTTTAATATCTTGTTTGTTGGCAAATATCAAAACAGCTGCTGTACGTAATTCTTCACTTTGTAACATACGAAATAGTTCTTGTTTTGTCAATGGTAAACGTTCACGATCTGTACTATCGACAACTAATATGACATATCCAGTATGAGAAAAATATGTTTGCCAAGATGACCGTAACGATTCTTGTCCACCAATGTCCATCATTAAAAAATGTATATTTTTAAAAACGACTTCTTCAACATTCGAACCAATTGTGGGCGATGTATGAACAACTTCATTCATTAAAAATTGATATAAGATTGTTGTTTTACCTATTAAATATAAACAAAATTTTATTGTCAAAATAAATATTTGCTTTTCTTATCTATCTTACCAGCATTATCGAGACCAACGATTATTATTTTATGTTCTTCATTTCCTATACAAATAGAAAAATCAAATAATTTTAAATCAATTATAAATATATTTTATTTACCAAATAAAGTCCATAATTTCGAAAATAAAAATCCCATAGTGTATTAGATTAGATTTTCTAGAAGTCTACATTAACAAAAAAATATTTTCCTATAGGAGCAGCATTGTATCTAAAATAAAATAAAATTACATAAAAAATAATGGACGTGTGGGCGTGTACTCGTTTACCATGGGATGAGATAATCATGATGACGAATGCTTTCGAAAGAAAATCAATGAAAATCAAGGAAGGAAGGATGGATGGATGGATGGATGGATATTTTTTTTTCTTCTCTTTTCGTTTGAAATATTTGATTGGATACGGTACGTATGTAATATAACATTGATGAACAATCCTGACATCTGCCGTTTTCATAAAAAATAAGTTATTTACTCAAATAAAACTTAAAATTTCGAAGATCTTCTATTAAAATTGATATATAATTATAAGAAATAATATCAGAAAAATATATTCTAAACTATGCCTTCGTGCACTTATCAATGAACACTTGAGTTTTATCTATTTTGAAGTATGCTCATTTAATATATTGTCCTTCTTCAATATCTTATAATCGGCGTCAAAATATGATCTATTTATCATAACGTAAAATACGAAAAGTATGATTCTCTAATGAACCGTTTAACTGATGAACCCGAACGCAAATTTACATGTCATGTAAATCAGTCGACAAGCATACTGAACTTAGTCATAAATAAAGAACAATCATCATGACTTGAGTTCTGTTTGCTATTGTCAATGTCAACGTATAACGAATGGAAGATTGAGGAATCAAAGAAATCTATATATTTAATTAACTTCAAGAAAGAAAGAAATTAAATCAATAAAGATTTAAAAAACGATTTTATTAGACTTCACGGTTTAGAAAATATAAGTAGTCAAATGCAAAGCGTTGTTGTACAATGTATTCTTCTTTAACTCGGATTAATATACATTTGCAAAAGCCTTGTGATTTTCACATGACTACAAATCGTAATAAATAAATGACAAATATTCGTACCTTTCAATGCTATGCTTTGTTTTTCTTTCTATGAAGCACTGAAATCTGCAGAAGAAGAAAAGGGCATAGTACACATTTGCCATTGAAAAACTAAAGAGAGCAAACAAAATAAAAGTGTATACGTGTTAACAAAAAACGTGAGAATATGAATCATAGATGGAAAATATTTTTAAGGGCTATTTTATTTCTATTTGATTACACTCAATTCTCAGAGTGTCAAATGAGGTTACGAAACAAGGCTTATTTTTTCACTGGAATCACCTCAAAAGCGAAAAGTATACGTGCTGTTTCTATGAAACTTTTCATCTAATGTATAATGTATTCATCAGTGAGTATAATAAGGTAGAAAAAGTGTAGGTGTTAGTATGATTGTATTCATGTAAAAAGTGAAATAGATGTTTTAAATGATTAAAAATAGACCTTCCTATTGAATGAAATATAAAATTTAATACCTAGTGGAAGAATAATCAGTTTTTTATACTTTAGAAAACATTCTTATTTTGCTTCTATTGAAATTGAATATTTTATTTATCCGACAACAGAAGAGCCATGAATTATTTTTTTAAATATTTTTTATGAATAAGAAAAGTTCCGGTTAAGCTTAGCGCACATTTTTCACAGCCGATCAGCATCAATCATTTGAGAGATTTCATCAATGAATTAATTTTTTTAAATTTTTACTGAATAATAAATTTTATTGTTCACGAACGTTTATTCTTTTGTTGAAATAGTCGAACTAAAAAAATACAGTCATTATAAAGAATTCTGCACAAGTCACTATTAAACAGTAGTCATCATCAATTCAACTCCGCTATGAATATCATCATGATTATCATCAAATTCAATTGGCATTAATTCATCGCTGGTTTCAATAGCCGTATATGAACATGTTGTATTCATTACACGACTATATGCAGTATTCCCACATGCTGTTGAGCCAACAGATGATGAAGATGATTGAGAACTCGATGAAGCAACAATAATAATGGGTTTTATGGATTTTAAACTTGTATAATGATGTGCAGGTGATCCGTCTTCATAACAATATCGTGTTTTTGTCGGCGACGAATTAGCCATACGTTTACCGTTTGTTAACATATATGGACTAGCATTAATCATACCATTTGTTTTGATAAGGGAATTTTTACTTTTAATTTTCTTATGTAAACGATCGGCAAAACATAAAATTATTGTTATTATAACAATAAATATAAGTATAGATGAGCCAATAAATATTGTAAATATTTGTTTACGAGTTTTCAATGAAGTTATGTATAATGAATTTTTCGGTAGGAAAGATCCAGATGTTGATTGAGTAGAAAATGAATGGACCATACGTTTACCTTGCTGAACTTGTTCTGTTGCAAGACGCTAAAATAAATAATATATAGATTATTATCATGAAAACATAACAACTAATGACGAGGGCGTGGGCGCGGAAAGAGATGATCCACGCATCAATAGCAAGTTTGAAAACTTACCAGTGATGCTTCATCGTAACTATTGTATTTTTTCAAAACATTGAACCAATCTGTTCGATTTGAGCCAATAAATAAACGTAACGTTTCAACAATAAGACATGGGATAGGCTCGCCATGATCACGTATTTGTACATGAAGGTTAACCAATGAATCATCTTGAATTAAATTTGAGCTTGTTTGTACCACTAAAGTTCCATTTGAATGTAAAACGACAAATGACGGTGACGTTGATGGTGATAATTCAAACGTGATTTCTCCATTTGCATCTTGATCATTATCGGATGCGATGAGATGCATTAGAAATTTCTTTTTTGTTATATCACGATTAATCATTAGAAATGTTGTTTCAATGTGTAATTGTGGACAATTATCATTTTCATCGAGAACTTCAATTAACAAGGATACGTTGGTTGATTTTGGCGGATTGCCATGATCGGATACAATTAGTAGCAATGGATACGAAGATATTAATTCGCGATCTATTAAACCATTGACCATAATCATAACTTGAATAGTCGACTAGTGAAGAAGAAAAAAACAAAAAATAAAAAATTTGTATGAACATCTATAATTTATTTTGTGTATTTCATCGTGCAGGTCGCAATCGACTTGTTTGTTAGATTAGCATTCTACTGAATGACGTTGTCTAGTGTTAATTAAGAATCTTATTTCAGACAAGCAAAGTAGACTGACAGATGGTCATCATTCGGAATTGATATATTCTTACCTCCGATAAATTACTTTTCTGAATGATGATTTCAAATGGAATATTAGATTTAATTTTGTTATCTTCCTTTTCATCTGGCCACCATCGTGATGCTACACTGATCTGTCCATTGTTTTCATCTTTATCATCATCTCGGCATGATATGGTGCCGATGATTGTGCCTTCTTTACTGTTTTCGATTATTGATAATGACAAATTTTTATTGTCAATATCGCATATAGGCGAATGTTCATTAAGAGGAACAATAGTAAATGTTATTGTTGTATCAGATGATAACGGCGATGAGCCTAGAATAAAATTGTTGGAAATAAATTAGAAAATTTTAAGAATGACTATTTTTGCGAAAATGTATAAATTGATTTCGTTCGATTTTAATCGATCAGAAACGATTAACAAACAAGTTTTGAGCGGGCAATATTCTCAGAGAATCTACGATGAACTTTCGAATTCCGCTAAAATAACAATGTGATTCCCTCTAGAAATACAATCAGACACCTGGAATTAGTTATAAAATGTTCATTAGAATTTTCAGCGATATGTGCATCAAACATCTGTATTGATCAAAATGATTCTTCTGGCATATCGGTACATTTGCTTGTATTTAAAATACTCTCTTGGATCATTAGATAAACAAATCCTATGCTATCTACAGATCTGATGGTATCAAAGTATTCGTTATTGCATTACGAAAATATGTATTTAACAAACGACTTCAATTTTTACACGAATCTACAACACCATTTCATGTTGAAAGTAGCAGATTTTTTACTATTTACTATAGTGAGATGTAAATTTAAGAACAAAACTTGTTATCAAAATAATCCTCGATAACTCTATTATCATTTCGACTTATTAATTACATCGTGCTTTATCTCCTTTCGATAATCGTCTTATTCTATACGTGTTATAATCATTATGTGCCATTTGTTCAACATATGACGTAGTCCTATGTGTGTGTTCATATCCCAACGCAAATAAATATCCATAGACTTTCACTTATTACATTTGTCTACTGTGATATCTTTTTTTTGCCATAGCATGACAATAATGAGTGCTAACAAAAAAAATTTTCTGGCATACGAGATTTTATTATTATTAAAATGCGTGTATACACTCGCAGTCGTCGAAAGAGGACCGGACACTTGAGTTTATAAGTAATCTTAGAGAGTCAATTATATTTTATGTCCAACTCTTCTACATGAAAACAAAACAAAATAAAAAAACGTGAATTTCCCTTAACGATTTGAAGGAAAAACTTGTACATCATTTTTACCTTTATCTCTGGCTTGAATATTTAACAAATACGTATCTTGTTGTTGTCGATCGAATTCTACCAAAGCTCGAATAACTCCTGTTTGTGGATCAATATGAAATAGATTAGTATGATTATTTTCATTGAGAATTGAATAAACAATTTCTCCATTTTGATCTAAATCAAAGTCATCAGCTTGAACACGATAGATTTCATAGCCATTCGGACTGCTTATTTTCGTATGTTCACTTATTTTAGCATGAATATTTTCTTGTCGGAATTTTGGTATATTATCATTATCATCGAGGACAATAATATGTATACGTAAATAGGTTGCTTTTGGTTTTGGTTTTCCATGGTCAGTTGCTTCGAGTGTAAAATAATATTCCGAAATATATTCTCGATCGAGTAAATTTTTTGTACGTAATTCACCTGTATTTTCAGTTAAACGAATTAATTGAAAGGGCATCGATGATGATCCATCAAGTTTCCATGTCACACGTCCATTGTCACCAGAATCAAGATCCATAACGGACAAAGATAATATTAACGAATTAATTGATAGTGATTCATTTAAAAATAATTTCAATGTATTAACATTCATTTCAATATCATTCGGATAAAAATCAATAACTGGATAATTGTCATTTTCATCCATTAAATGAATTATTAATCTAATCGTAAACATAGACGAGAAGAATTTCGATTTCAAAACAAATAAATGAGGAAACATCGGATTCGCATCCGATTGTTACGTGTACTGCAAAAACTGAGTCGATTTATATATGTTTTGAATAATTCTGAGAAAAAAGTTTTTTTTTGAAAAATCCCTGTA